CAGGCTGCAACATAACAAAATTGAAAACAGTGAAGGGTGTCTGAATACTTTCCAATGCACAGTATATAATGCCCTTGATAATGAAAACATAAATGTATCATAATCACTATCAAACACATTTGTACTTATTTTGAGGGTGGGTGGATAGGTGTGTTCATGTGTGTACAAAAGTTAATAGCAATGGTGGCATTGTCAATTATGGCTATTTGTAAAAATGACTTTACATTCTTTATTCTTGGTTTCTATAAAGGATTCTTCATAGCATCTATCTCTTCTCCCACTTCCCACTCTTCCTTACCAATTACTAGATTTTACTGCAACTCACAGAGGCAGCTCTGCTCCTAATCTTCCAATAATCAGTACCGCGTTCTTTATTATTTGACTTCAAACATCTGCTTCCTTACATCAGTAACTTTATCCTGCTTTTTGTTTTCTATAGAAGTTGATTTAAAAGTACTTTCAGAGGGTTGTAGTACATAATTTTGGAGAACTTCAAGTCTAAATGTAGGGTTAGGCTAAAAAAGTATCTCAGGAAAAAGTGTATGCCATTCTCCAGACTCTGCTTCCTAAAAATGCCTCTGTAGCAGCTAGTCTGAAAGAGATTTACAGCTTCCAAAACAATGAATGACCAGTTAAGAACAATATCATATATTAGAATCCACCACCAAGCCCTACATCCTGTACACTTAATTTTCCGGTAATGAATAAACAACAGAGTCTTATGGCACCTTAGGGATTAAAAGATTTGTAACAGCATGCATTTTAGTGGAAAAGACACCCTCCTTTATCAAATGCATGAAAGCATTCATTACTACAATACTAACATACCTCCTTTCTGGAACTCACTAATAAATTAAATCAGCCAGTCTGGGATCTATTCTCCTATATGTCCATTCAAAACTATGGGTAGTTTGGATCAAACAAGGATCCAACCTAGAATTGTCATATTATCCTGCTTCCCTGCTCCACCCACTTCCCCCCTGCCCTTTTAGATTCAAAGTTGCCCTCCTGGTCTGTGACTGGACTTCTGTGTAAATCCAGCCCATGTGGTTAGTTTACGGTTCAGAGTGTGTTGTACAAACCAAGATAATACATTGTTTAACATAGCTATGGGTAAATCATGTGAACATAAACACTACTTTATTAAAGGAGAAATTACCCTGAGTTCACACTGTTTGCATGAGCTTACATTAAAGAAGTTTGAATGTAAACTCTACTAAAAGAAGATATACTACTAGTCAGAGTATTCCATTGGTACAAGCTACAACTTCTGTGTGTTTAAGGTTTTCAGTATTTGTCTTTAGCTATTTGTCCACTGATGTAATTTACTTGCAATTACATCAGTAGACAAATAGCTTGCAAAAGACTGCACAGATACAGCCACACTTCAACTGTTTTGTGGGAAGACCTTTTTGACAGAATGGGAGCCACACATGGTGACACACTCCTTTTCCTATCCAATTTTATCTTGAAATTTGGATGTAGAAATAAATCCATAATCTTCACACCAGATATGAAGTAAATAGCTTGTAAATAGCTCTCTTTATAATCATAACATTTGTTGATGGCCTTTGGCAGACTCAGGATGGAGGATAGTGTGTCCATCCTGGTGCTCATTCATCTCATTGGCATTTGATATTGTCAACCACAGTAACCTTCTGGACCAACTGCAGGGTTTGGGACTGGGAGGCACTGCAGTGGTATTGCAGTGGTTCTTCTCCTTTCTCTGTGGCCAGGTCCAATTGGTGTTGACAGAAGTGTGGGAGGTTTTGTCCAAGGCCCCTCATTTGTGGGGTGTCTCATGGCTTAAAGCTCTTGTCCCTCCTGTTTAATATCTACATGAAATCGCTGGGTGAGGTTATCTGTTGGTTCAGGGTCCAGTATCATCAGTATGCAAATGATACCCAATTGTACATCTTGTCCTGACCCAGTGTCTAGAAGCCGTTTGGGTCCAGATGGGGATGAACAGGCCAAGTGGATGCGGCTGTTTGGGTCCCCCTGGATCTAACAATTTTTATTTGGTTTTAGATGGAGTGGCACTTCCCCATTCAAGACTAGTGCACAACTTGGGGGTCCTCTTGGTCTCATAAGTACTGCTTGAAGAGCAGGTAGCAGCTGTGGCCAGGAAGGCCATTCTGCAGGTCTAGCTTGTATACCAGTTGCACCCTTCCTTTGGACCTGGAAGCCCTTCAGAGAATCACTCATGCCCTAGTTACCTCATGATTGGACTACTGTAAGGTACTCTACATGGACTTCCCAGAAGCTACAGCTAGCCCAGAATAGTGGCATGGGTAATAATGGACACACCTCAATATGCCCACGTATCATCACTGTTCTGCAAGCTGCATTGGTTGCCAGTTGGCTTCTGAGTGCAATTCAAGGAGCTGGTTGTAACCTGTAAAGCGTTTCATGGCATACAGCCTGGTTATTTGAGGGAGACTGCCTGTCTCCAGGGTTTCTACCTGGCCAGCAAGATCAAGAAGAGTAGGAGTGCTCCAGGGCCAATCAAACAATGTCTTCTAGTGGGACCCCAGAAGGGTGTCTTCTCTGTCAAAGTGTCTGTCCTCTAAAACTGCATCCTCCGCCCCCCGCCATCCTGGAAATTTGCACAGCTTCCACCCTACAAAGGTTCCAGAAGTCTTTGAAAATGTGGCTTTGCCCTCAAGTTTTATTTATTAATCATATTTATATAGCCACCCATCTCATACAAAGTGACTCTGGGCAGTGTACAACAATTAAGTTTGGACTTAGGTTGCTTGTTGTAATGGTAAGTGGGAATGACTTTGGGACTACGCAAGTCTGATAAACAAAATCTGTGTCAGAATGGGGTGGGTGGGGTGGAGAAAGCATTTCAGAAGGGATTCTGCCTAGTTTTCAGGAGAGTAAAAGTAAGGAAGAGGAGACGTACTTTCAGACTTGCAAGATTCTGTTACTTACAATAAAGATAATGTTAGTACTTAGGTTTGGAGCTTCTTGTCTGGCCTACCTCAAAGGGCTGACACTTGTTGAGCCCCAATTTTCTTTTGCAAAATAATGATTTTGTTCAGGTGTATCCGTTTCTTTTTCCAGTGTTGTTTTTTTCCCCTTTTAACCCTGTAAGCTGCCTTCCAAATCTAAATAAATAAATAAATAACAAATACCTGTTTGTCCTGGTATAAAAACACCCACACATCAAAATATATCAAAACAGGAATGGGCAAGATTTTGTCAGCCAGAGGTCACACCCGAAAAAAAGATAGTTGACACGGGGGTGACGCACGGTCCTCAAAGCGGAAGCCTAACGTGCGGTGTGAGCCGAGAACATTGGGTGAAGGGAGTAAAGCACAACCTAGTTAGCCCTGGGTCGCTTCAGACATTGACGATTCCGGAGTGAGGGAGGACACTCGCTCGCTCACTCCGGAATTTTCAGTGTCTGAAGCGACCCCGCGACGGCCGTACAAGTGCGGAGGGTTGCTTTTCGCGGCGACTGTAGCTGCCTCTTCCCCAGGCCGTCGCCTTGGTCTCCCTTCCCTCTCTGCGCCGCCAGCCAGCCCATCCGCTCCCGCCTCGAGGCTGACTCTTCCCCTCTCACTGGCTGCAGGTCACCAGCATTGTTGTCAAAACTGCAAGCGGTCCGCGCCGGAGGCGGCTGCCTGCTTGCTTTCCCCCCGCCGCCACATGCACTCGCGCAAAACCCGGCTTCCCGCCCGGGCTCAAACTCCGCCAAACATTTCCTAATAAGGCTTCCCAGGTATTAAACAGCCCACGTTTCTAAAGGGCAGCCGGGGGAATTAAAAGGGACCGGTGTTCTCGGATGGTGCCGCTGAGAAACTTCGCGAGCAAAGAGAGCTTGAAATCCGGCGGGAGTTTCTAACTTGCTTAGCAGCGCAAGAGAGATCGCGGTGAGTCTCTCCCTCCCTCCCCCCTTTCTCACTGCCTGAGGCGCTGTGCTTTCTTTTCTCGATTTAGCTCTGGTTACTAATTTGTCGTCAATGCCTCGGAGAGACCGCAGGATTCGGAAAAAGATTAAAAGCGCAAAAGCAGCAGGTTCCTGGAGGCGACGTGTCTCTTTCCACGTTGCAGACCTTGTTTGTGTGTACGTACGCGCCTGTCCCCTCGAGGTCTGCTTAATCCTCCAGGGGCATCCAGTGCACACCTACTTAAGAGTAAGTTCCACTGAGCCCCGCGGGAATGAATAAAGAAGCCTAGGATTGCACTGCTGGGTGCGGTCTTGCGCGGGCGCCTAGAGTCCCGTTGGAGGAGGACTTTCTCTGGGGTAGATGTACCTGAGAATCGCTTTCGCAGACTGCATTTTAACTTCCGGCAGCTTCTCATCCAAAAATATATTTTCCCGCAATCCTAATTAAAAATAGGAAGGAGCCAGGAGACCGTATGCAAACGCAGGCAGGAGGAAGATGGGTGCCGAAGTGGCTTCAGCCAAGCAGGCAGTCACATTCTCACATAACCCCCGCGGCTTTCGTGTTAGCTTGGCTTGGTGGCGCAAGAGAACAGGAGTGCGACCTGCGGATTACCTTGGAAAGGTGATTTGCGCTTAAAAAGGCAGCGAGGGGGAATTAGCGTAACTGGAGGGGAGGGTTTGAAGCCAAGCACTGAAGCGCGGGGGACTGTGGTTGGTATATCCCGGGCGAAGGAGCGCTTCTTTTGTTCCTTGGAGCCTCTGGCTTTGTTGTCAGAAATCGAAGGTCAGTGTTCAGCCTCCTTCTTTTTCCTCGCGAAGTGCAACTTATGTTGCGGTTGCCATGTTTCCCTCCCCTTCTGAAAGGATCGCCGAGTCCTACCTCAATGTGGGAATCCTCTGAACGGCCTTCTTCAATTGCTACTTCTATTTTAAAGGGCAGCGCCAAGGCCAGTGCTTCTCAACCTTGGCCCCTTGAAGATGTGTGGACTTCAACTCCCAGAATTCCTCAGCCAGTTGTGCTGG